GTCTCAGAAAATATGATCCCAACTTTAATATCTCATCATGTTACATCCACGAAAGAAACTAACTGACATCTATCATCCTCAAATGGGTTACAAAGCCGTTTTTAATGCTTTAGCACTCCAGCAAACCACAGTAAGAACCATTATCCACAAACGGAGAAAACAGTGAACCTTTCCAGGCTGCCCAAGCAGATTTACTCCAAGAGGGTCACAAAAGAAACCAGAACAAAATCTAAACAACTGCAGGTCTCACTCATTTAAGGTCAGAGTTCATGATTCAATATTAACAAATAGACTGAGCGTGAATAGTGTCCATGGGAGAGTTCAGAGGAGAAAACCACAGCTGGCCAAAAGGAAAACATGAAGAGTTCTGGTAAACTTTTCTGTGGAGTGATGAAGGTTTGAGTCCTGTTACATCTGGTGCAGGATTAACACAGCATTTCATAAAAGAACATCATAACGACACGGAGGCGGTAGTGTCATGGTCTGGGGCTGCTTTATGGCTTTCAGGACCTAACAGAAACATCTGAAGGAGAACGTCTGGCCATGAGTTTGTGCCCTGAAGCTCGATGGCACTCGTGTTATACAGCAGGACAGTGATGCGAAACACACCAACAAGTGGCCTAGACAAAGTCTGGTCTTAAATCTGATTTGGCGTGACCTTAAACAGGCTTAAAAACTCCACAGTCTGGCTGAATTAAAGCAATTCTACAAAGAGCTGTATGTCAGAACTCATCCTGAGTGATGGGAAAGACTCACTGTCAGTTACTGCACTCCAGTCTGCACTGCCAAGGTCGACACAACCAGTTTGCAAAACTGCATTTTTCATTTATCCAGGTTATTGTTGTCCAATATCAGAAGTTGTGTGATCTGAAACATTTAAGTGTGACTCATACGACAAAAATGAAGAAATCAGGAAGTGGGCAAACATTTTTTTTGCAGCACCACGTATCTTCGGGGGCGGGTCTTTAACCTTTCTAAGGGCTACACTGTAACAACAGGAGACAGTTCTGGTTGAGTAGCAGCTTCTTTCTCACCTCTATAATATTTGAGGGGCCAAAAATCAACACTCATGCTCCCACTCTCACTCTGGAGAGCGCTCGGATGTAACAGGAGAGCTGAGGACGCCAGCACCAGAGTGTCTTTTGCATTCTGTCACAGAGGCTTTCAGCAAAATGGGAAAATAGATCGAGGTGTGCAGCAAATGGCATTAATTTTTTTTTATTTTTTTAAGAGATAATAGCACTTTACCTGATCCCCATCTTTCCGTACCGGCACGGCATCCGCTGCTGGAGAGATAGAGAGAGAGAGAGAGAATGAGATGAATTTAAGATTTCATTATCAGATGCTTCAGTAGTTACAGGTATGACGCCACATGCAGAAAACAGGAATCGGTTTAAGCTGTCTGTGATAGGAGAAGGTGAGACAGGAAGATACAGTGAGGGAGAAGCAGATAACAGTATGTCACACTGAAGCCGCCTTCGGCCTGCTCGCTGTGGAGGAATGACAACGCCGTCCAGTGTTTCTCTCTCGCACACACTCTCGCACAAACACACCGAGCTAAAATTAGATTAATTATCCACGCCAAGCTTTGGCACGCAGAGGGCACAACGAGTGTGAGTCATAGAGGCCAGAGATGACTCTGAAATATCTGAGGGTGATAACAGTGGATGCTTATTATTGCCAGTAAAGTTAATAATTTAGTGCTAATAAAATAGAAAACAGGGACCACTGTGGAGCAGAGCAGAGAGACT